AGTCAGCAACAGGTGAGGAAAAACAGGTGAATATTACAGGTAAAATCTGACACAAATATAACCAGAAAACTGAAAACACAGAGACACATAAAAAGTGTATCTTATAAAACAAAACACTGTGTGACTTGTACTTAAAAGTAATGACATTAAAACATTTAATTAATCTTGTTTTTAACCCAGAAATTTAAATGTGTTCACCATATCATGTAAGGTAAAATGTAGATAACCTGTGCCAAGCTGACCGCAGTGTTTACTAGTGTTACGGCACCACGATGATATTCTCACTTATATATATATATTGTACAACAAGATGCTACCTCACATTTTCATTTAAAATAAAATATGACCTACGAGAAGAGTAAGAATTTGAAAACGAGAGAAATTTCAAGAGGTCAAAATTTGAACCCTTGACCATTCAATTTGAATATTCTGACTTCTTAGAATTTAAATTAAAAAATAAAAAAATGATAGAATGTTGACTCATTTACACAAGACATGAACAACTGTTTAGGTGAGAAAAATGAACACTTCAAAATCCTTAGCTACTGAACAATAAAGATTTAACATAGTAAAGTTTGGCTTACATTGCTATAAAAATCTACATTCTCTAGAAGAAAAAAAAATTTGGCTTCTCGCTATGAACAATTGATTGCACTTAAAACGTGAATGAATCAACAGACCGTAGCTGTGAGGAAAGAGATATCCTACTCAAACTTAAACAAATTGCACTGTAAACATCCAACCAACATATTACACAAAATCATTATAACTACTGAACTGAAAAAATATTGCGGCGTAAGGGGAGACAACTCCCGTCCATCTATGTACACATATTTTATATATATATATAAATCAACTACTACATTCTTAGACTAAATTTTCTTTGGTTAAAATCTTTATAATTACAAAATGCTAAAAGTAACATGATACATCTGTGTGTACCTCAATGGTGGTAATAGTGCGTTTCTCACACCATTGCTTTAACATAGTGTTAACTTACCTAAAGAAAACTGCCTCAAGAAAAATGAAAACATTGAGGACGACGTGGAATGTAACAAAATGTGTTACATATATACTCTCAACATTTTGTTACCTGAAATAACACTACAATATTTTCCTTTAATAGCCTTTTTTTCTTTTTCTTTTTTTTTTTTTTTTTTTGTACGAATTTGTTTTCAACACTTTTAAAGCCAATTCTGTGGAATTTTTCAATTAAAAATTTTCAAAGTGAAATCTTAATCAACTTTCTGAACTAAACAATCATAAAAAAATATAGACTGGGAATATGGAAGAAGTTTCCTTAAAAGACTGACGCATTTCTGATAAAATAACACAGTGTTACGTAATGGCTGAGAAATTCAACATCTTCATCTTAATTTGCATATTATACTTAGCACTGAATAAGTAATAAGTAAACATAATAAAACACATTTCTTTATACATCAGAAGATATGGAAACAGATACCTATTGCACAAGGTGACACATCACCATCTTAACCATTCTACATCCAGGTTCTGTTACAGGCACTGGAGAAATGAGATATCAGCATAGCACAGTGATTGGGGTAAGGAACCCAGAGTGGGGCCATAGATTTAGTACAGTGATTGGGGTAAGGAACCCAGAGTGGGGCCATAGATTTAGTACAGTGATTGGGGTAAGGAACCCAGAGTGGGGCCATAGATTTAGTACAGTGATTGGGGTAAGGAACCCAGAGTGGGGCTATAAATTTAGTAGCATTGCGATGCTGGAAAGCCAGGAAATGTTCCATAGGTATGGTACTGCGATGAGGGTGGAGAAGGGTGGGGCCAGAGGTACGATAATGTGACCTGGGTGATACTAAATTCTACAAGATATTTCCTTTAGGGATATGTGATACATGTATATCATACCTATATTTTGTGATTAGGTTATCTCCCTTGATGCTTTTTCTCTTGAAATATATACTAGTTTTAATTTTGGTGTAAAAATGATGTTGAGGGATTTCTGTGCTGTTTAAAAACATCTGAAATAAATGCTGGCATTTTGTTGTAACGTACTATATTTTGTACCATTTTGTCATCAGTTAAACTCTTAATCTAGTTCTCTACTCCAGAGTAAGATTAGTGAGGCCAACTACACCTGGATCCCACACCTCATTTCCATTGTACAGAGTAAGATTAGTGAGGCCAACCACACCTGGATCCCACACCTCATTTCCACTGTACAGAGTAAGATTAGTGAGGCCAACCACACCTGGATCCCACACCTCATTTCCATTGTACAGAGTAAGATTAGTGAGGCCAACCACACCTGGATCCCACACCTCATTTCCATTGTACAGAGTAAGATTAGTGAGGCCAACTACACCTGGATCCCACACCCCATTTCCACTGTACAGAGTAAGATTAGTGAGGCCAACAACACCTGGATCCCACATCTCCACTGTACACAGTTAGTGGTTAGTGACATCTACATTCCTGCCTCTGAACCTCTTAAATATCATAAACATTTTGATTTGTAGACATTGACAGAGAAACCTTGTAACTGATTACCTTAGCTGTACATTTCTTTGCCTTTTTAACATTAAAATAATAATTCAACTGATAAATTAGTGATCATTTCATAAATGTTTGATTGTTTGTGGCAAATCTGTAATTCAAACTTTCTGAAAGAGAAATTCTCTGCACAGCCACCCCAGGTTGACCTCTGCCATAGATCAGCATAAATTGACCTGTGACACAGGTCACTGGCAGATGACTCCTAACATAGGTCTTTCATGAACCTACCTATGTCACAAGTCATGCATGACAAGTTAATTTCTTGCATAGGTCTTTCATGAGCTGACCTTTGACTGGTTGACCTTTGACACCAGTCAAAGGTCATTATGACCTGGCCATTAAAACTGGTCGTCTGTAGCAAGATTATACCTACAAATATTTGATTATGCTCATAATTTGTATATAATTAATATCCCATTAGACCAGTCCGGGACCAATCCAGAAAACACCCCTACAGAATGCAATAGATTGACCCTTCACAGCTCTGTAGGTAGCTGTTATCAGTAGACCGATTCAGAACACCCCTACCGAATGTAATAGATTATTCCTCTTTTAGCCCTTTGGCATCAGCAGACTAATCTAGAACACCCCTACAGAATCAAATAGATTGGTCATGCAAATTCATCTGAGGTACAATAGGGATGAAAGGAAGATTAGATAAAGGTGAAAATTCCTGGTACTTGTCAGATACAGCACTCACACTAACACACATTCTAATGTATCAACTTTTTAATAAATGACAATAAACTGACCGAGAGGCAAAGTGAAATGGAAACTGACCATTGTCCACAGACAATGTTATAGGCTAAATACTGAAGATAGCATAAATGGTGACCGCACGGCTAATTGCCTAACGTACCACCGGTAGTCACACATTTACAGACTTTGGCAAAAATTCTAATGATCAAATATAAAAATAGTTAACAAGAAACTTTGAATTCACAAATACATGTAATGGTTAAGGGCCATTACCTTAACACAACAACGATAATTGTAAAAAAAAAAAAAATAAAAAATTATGAAGAATTGTCCAAAATGCCTTTATCTTAAAAAAAGTCAGTTGATAAAACGCACAACTTACCATGAGCAACAAACTATATACATAACAGGTGTCAACTCTTGCTCAATGAAAACCTTCAACAGCTGAGCGGTGTAACAAGGGTCACGCACTTACTTAGCACAAGAATAAGTGTAAATGTGAATTACCAGTCTGTAAATACTTTGGCTATTAGCTACTTATGTGTTGTTTGTCTGTGTGTGAACTTGGCACTACTAGAGCATGTCTCCATGGTTACACACATACATAGCACCTCTCGCACAGCTCTCTGCTGTCACAGTGTGTAGTCCAAAGTTTCTACCCACAAAAAATTGAGCAAATCCTTTTTTTGCAAAATTGTTTTTTTCTTTTCAAAGTAAAATTTGAAATTCATTGCAACCCTGAAATATTGCACTCAATTTACTTTATTTTACACACATTGTTTAATACAATTTCTAACAAAATATCTCACACTGAACACATCGCGACTAGACAACAACCATAAATGGCGCTGAACACACTACGTATACTTGAACCAGTCGCAAGACTCTGAACACACTACGTATACTTGAACCAGTGGTGAGACTCTGAACACACTACTCCCCCCGTTATTGTTACGCAGGCCTACAGAATCATCAACAATAATAGTATATATAATGATAACATCTTTGTGTCAAAAAAGTATAAACAAATGAAAAAAAAAAAAAAAATATGTATATATATATATATATTATATAAAGCAAAGAGCTAACCCTTCAAGGGATTGAACACATGTTGTCCTGCTGCGAGCCATTCCGGGCACTCAAGTGCCGCAAAACCACAGAATATATATCAACACTTTCATCCGAGGTAGTCCAGGATGACTTTGTCACTGTTGATCCACGTACTGAAACACCAGCTTACTCATCCATAAGGAATACACTCCAAAGTAGTATTTTCCCTCTGTAAATTTGCACCAAAAATTGCTGGCTCACACACACGCACACATACCTTTAGAGTCACGAGTAAAAATGCGCCTACAACACAGATTATAACAAAAAAGTAACTGTACATACATTGTAGTGAAAAGGTATAAAAAGTATCTTTGTATAAAAATAGATTAAGCTACCCTTCCAGGAAATACTGTTGTAGAATCACTGAGATTGACACTTATAGCTCGTGGCCGATAGGCCCCACTCCTACAAATATATCTGACCGGCATCAATGTTTCCAACAGGCCGAGTTTCAGGCCTGCCAGTACTGCCCTTAACCTTTTGGAGCTTTAGAATTTTGCTCTTCACTTTTTGGGGCTAAAAAATTTTCCTTTCACCTTCAGGGCTGTAACATCTGCCCTTTTCTATGTTGTGGCTCTGTACATTACCTCTGCTGAAGTAGGCCAGATATATGGCTGAGATTGTCTAGCACTCCAGCCCCTCCATACACAGCTTTAGAATTCCCAGCCCCCACCTGGACTGTGCTGCAGATTGCTTTGGAGTTTCTCTATACTGGCAGACCGATCAAATTCATCCCAGTCCTCATCTGGCGATTCTATTGACTTTTGTAACTTGTCAATTTTTGTACACCGCTCATAACGCGGTTTTACGCCACTGGATCCATTGACATCCTCATTTTCTTTTTCCAAGTCCTCTTCTGTCTCTTCTCCCTCACTCACTTCTACACCCTCGTCTCGCGACACACTGCTCTGTAGACATGTGTAACCACCTGTCGTCGTAGGCGTTTTAGTTTTGTCAAGCTGGCGTCCCTCCGAAACATACTGGGGATTGGAGCGTTTTCGTTTGTTGACTCCCACCTGGGGCAGTGCCTGTAATGCTGCTTGCTTAAACTGCGTATCGTCGCCTGAACCGCCATTGTCATCCTTCCCCTCTTCAACAAGGGAAGATGCTTTTGATGATAGTGGAGACGCCTCACCTGAAATACGGTCATTTTCAACCTCCTCTTCATTCTGTCCTTCACTATTCTCAGCCCCAGACCGTTGAGTGTTAACAGGTTCAAACTGCGGAAACAGCCACTGACTGGAGCCTTCGTTACCCTGGAAACTCTGCTGAAATTGGTTACCATCTCCCGACATACTAGAGATGTCACTCTGGTCAGAGTTGTCATCTGTTGGCTCTGACTTAACGATATTCCCCGAAAAATCACTGAAGTTTGAGCCAGGTGCTGGACCAGCCGTGTTGCCTGCATGTTGCTGTTGTTTTGCTCTCATGCGGTGATTGTGGAACCAGTTAATGACCGTCTTCACTCCAACATTAAGTTCGTTAGCCAGACCTTCGATGGTGCTCTGGTTTGGGTACGGGTCCTGGTTGTATGCCATTCGCAATTTTTCCTTTTGATCTTCGTTGAAAAAGACGCGTGGGCGTTTTGGTGCTGATGGTGAGTCGTAGGAACGATCATCGACACTGCTGCTTCTTCTCCGTCGCTGAGCTGTAAACATTGAGTACAATCAGTTAGCATCAGAACAAGGCTAAACCAACAAATAGAACAACTTCAAAAATCTTCACTCAGCAAAATATATCAACATACTGTGACAGTGTTTTACTAAAGTATACAGGACACATGGAGACGGTTAAGAGTTTCTCTGTTCAATTTCTTTTCGAGGCAGTTATTATTTTACATGATTTTATTCTACCTTCAAAAACAACGAAAAATTGAACGCACAAAATAACTTTTACACAAACAATTTTTGCACAGTATAAACTTCCTCTTTCAAAATGAATGTACTGCTCCCAACACTTGCCAGTATATAGTATTTAGATGGAAATTCTGTGGTACAGATGTTTAGGTAGTGTACACAATAGACTTCCTTTGGCTATCCTATAATAATTCTTTCGCATCTTTTGTACAATCTTTTGATCAGTAAACAATACTGTGAGGTTCAAAATCCATGAACTACCTTACTGTCAACTTCTCCTATCTTGTATAAAAATGACATTTTTAAATTCTAAAACAGGCATGCCCTGTACAAAGTCCATTATATACTCAAAATATCAAAACTGACTACAGATCCGTTAAACATATCACAGTTCAGTGAAAAATAAACTATATAATCAATCATTTAGTCCCAAATATGGACAATCTCTGTGATTGACAGTCCCCTGTGATTGACAGTCCCTGTGATTGACAGTCCCCTGTGATTGACAGTCCCTGTGATTGACAGTCCCCTGTGATTGACAGTCCCTGTGATTGACAGTCCCCTGTGATTGACAGTCCCTGTTATTGACAGTCCCCTGTGATTGACAGTCCCTGTGATTGACAGTCCCTTGTGATTGACAGTCCCTGTGATTGACAGTCCCCTGTGATTGACAGTCCCTGTGATTGACAGTCCCTGTGATTGACAGTCCCTGTGATTGACAGTCCCCTGTGATTGACAGTTCCTGTTATTGACAGTCCCTGTGATTGACAGTCCCCTGTGATTGACAGTTCCTGTTATTGACAGTCCCTGTGATTGACAGTCCCCTGTGATTGACAGCCCCCTGTGACAGCCCCCTGTGATTGACAGCCCCCTGTGATTGACAGTCCCCTGTGACAGTCCCCTGTGATTGACAGTCCCCTGTGATTGACAGTCCCTGTGATTGACAGTCCCTGTGATTGAAAGTCCCCTGTGATTGACAGTCCCTGTGATTGACAGTCCCCTGTGACAGTCCCTGTGATTGACAGTCCCTGTGATTGACAGTCCCTGTGATTGACAGTCCCCTGTGATTGAGACAAGTTATACTGTTTCTATTTGTAGTAGCAATGAAAAGGTTTAAAACAAATTCAGAATGCTTGTTTACGTATGTATGCTAATGTCACTAGTTTCCCTCATGATCCCAATAACTTACTTGACCTGAAAGAAAACTCTGATAAGTAACAGCATTGGAAGTTAGAGTGTTGTACCTTTGATTTCGTTCTGGTAGTGCTTGAGACGTTCTACATTGTGCGGATCACTCAACCATAGGTGCATTTTAATGAAAGGCTCACGGCCTTTGATACTGAGCATGTGCCAGGGCTTGGGCTTAGACAAGAGCTCACTAACTGAGCCCTGTGACAGCCCAAGCACAGCCTCTCCAAACAGCTTCTGGCCCAGATTGTGAAACTGAAGAACATCCTTGACCCTAGAGGTCAATTCCAAGGTGTCTATCTCGGAGGTCATGGCCACAACTTCCAACATGGAGGATGGATAGGAGAAGGATGCCCAGTTGTAGTGTTGACCAAGGATTTGGGCGGGGGTACTGTGCGGTGGGAGGATCTGCTGACGGAGATGGTGAAGGGGGTGGTCGGGAGGTACTTGGGTGCTCGCGACGGCTACAGGGGTCGACTTTTCCGGGGGCGACACTAGCGTGAAGGAGAAACAAAAACTGAAGGTAGGACCGTGTGGATTGGCTGGTACAATGAGGTTATTACAGGGTTAGCATTAGTAGGGCTTTGGGACTGTTGTACACGGGTTAGTGGTTAGTGACACGATAACTTGATATACAGCTGGGTATGGCTAGCTCAACAGTATGAAGCTGGTTAGTTCAAACATAAGGCATTTAGTTACAGTCTTCAAATTATCTTTTTTTGTTTAACATGGAAAGGCAAGCTTTGAATTATCCTATTTAACATGGTCAAACATTTTTAAAAATTGGTATTTCAATCCTATGGAATCCCTTGTCAAACTCAATTGTATTTTCTTTTTTCAGTCTTGAGTAATACTTCTCGTTTGTAAAATTGTACCAAAGACCCAAATGAATAACACTTTTTGCTTCAAATTAAGAGTTAGATACAGAGCAAAACCATGAATTAAACTGCATCATACAGCTGTTTTGTCCTTTTTAGGACTCATCAGTGATGCTAAGTGCTGAAATTTTGAATCCGAGGAGACGACCAAGGAAAACCCAAAGTAATTGAAAGAAATGTCAAAATCTAGATGGGGCAGTGCAGTAGCCTTATAATTCAATAAATTTTGTAACTTTCATTATTTGATAATTTTAGAGCAATGTCAAATACATGTGTATATTTAGCTATTTTTTTTTTTTTTTAATAATTTCTATGAGAGTCTCTCCATTTTGTGTTAACATTTGTTTAATTACATATTTATATAATGTCCAAATTATTGCTGGATAAAAATCACCATCTTATTCCATAATGAAAATTGCCCTTGGTTTGTGAGTGTTTATAGGGTTTTGGAGAATTATAATGGGTTAAGCAAGTTGAAATGGTTTGAGAGATTTAAAGCAGTCTGTGATATTTTGTTGGTGGGTGTGATATTTTGTTGGTGGGTGTGATATTTTGTTGGTAGGTGTGATATTTTGTTGGTGGGTGTGGTATTTTGTTGGTGGGTGTAATATTTTGTTGGTGGGTGTGATATTTTGTTGGTAGGTGTGATATTTTGTTGGTGGGTGTGATATTTTGTTGGTGGGTGTGATATTTTGTTGGTGGGTGTGATATTTTGTTGGTGGGTGTGATATGTTGTTGGTGGGTGTGATATTTTGTTGGTGGGTAAGGTATTTTGTTGGTGGGTGTGATATTTTGTTGGTGAGTGTGATATTTTGTTGGTGGGTGTAATATTTTGTTGATGGGTGTGATATTTTGTTGATGGGTGTGATATTTTGTTGGTGAGTAAGGTATCTTGTTGGTGGGTGTGATATTTTGTTGGTGGGTGTGATATTTTGTTGGTGGGTGTGATATTTTGTTGGTAGGTGTGATATTTTGTTGATGGGTGTGATATTTTGTTGATGGGTGTGATATTTTGTTGATGGGTGTGATATTTTGTTGGTGAGTAAGGTATCTTGTTGGTGGGTGTGATATTTTGTTGGTGGGTGTGATATTTTGTTGGTGGGTGTGGTATTTTGTTGGTGAGTAAGGTATCTTGTTGGTGGGTGTGATATTTTGTTGGTGGGTGTGATATTTTGTTGGTGGGTATAATATTTTGTTGATAGGTGTGATATTTATTTGGTGGGTGTGGTATTTTGTTGGTGGGTGTGATATTTTGTTGGTGGGTGTGATATGTTGTTGGTGGGTGTGATATGTTGTTGGTGGGTGTGATATTATGTTGATGGGTGTGGTATTTTGTTGGTGAGTAAGGTATTTTGTTGGTGGGTGTGATATGTTGCTGCTGGATGTGATATTGTGTTGATGGGTGTGGTATTTTGTTGGTGAGTAAGGTATTTTGTTGGTGGGTGTGATATTATGTTGATGGGTGTGGTATTTTGTTGGTGGGTGTGATATTTTGTTGGTTGGTGTGATTTGGTGGGTGTGATATTTTGTTGGTGGGTGTGATATTTTGTTGGTGGATGTGATATTTTGTTGGTGGGTGTGATGTTTTGTTGGTGAGTAAGTCATTTTGTTGGTGAGTGTGATATTTTGTTGGTGGGTGTGATTTTTTGTTGGTGGGTGTGATATTTTGTTGGTGGGTGTAATATTTTGTTGGTGGGTGTGAAATTTTGTTGGTGAGTGTGATATTTTGTTGGTGGGTGTGGTATTTTGTTGGTGGGTGTGATATTTTGTTGGTGGGTGTGAAATTTTGTTGATGGGTGTGAAATTTTGTTGATGGGTGTGATATTATGTTGATGGGTGTGATATTTTGTTGGTGGGTGTGATATTATGTTGGTAGGTGTGATATTTTGTTGGTGGGTGTGATATTTTTTTGGTGGGTGTGATATTTTGTTGGTGGGTGTGATATTTTGTTGGTAGGTGTGATATTTTGTTGGTTGGTGTGATATTATGTTGATGGGTGTGATATTTTGTTGGTGGGTGTGATATTATGTTGGTAGGTGTGATATTTTGTTGGTGGGTGTGATATTTTTTGGTAGGTGTGATATTTTGTTGGTGGGTGTGATATTTTGTTGGTAGGTGTGGTATTTTGTTGGTGGGTGTGATATGTTGTTGGTGGGTGTGATATTTTGATGGTGGGTGTGATATGTTGTTGGTGGGTGTGGTATTTTGTTTGTGGGTGTGATATCTTGTTGGTGGGTGTGTTGGTGGGTGTGATATTTTGTTGGTGGGTGTGATATGTTGTTGGTGAATGTAATATCTTTTGGTGGGTAAGGTATTTTGTTGGTGGGTGTGATATTTTGTTGGAGAGTGTGATATTTTGTTGGTGGGTGTGATATTTTGTTGGTGAGTGTGATATTTTGTTGGTGGGTGTGATATTTTGTTGGTTGGTGTGATATTTTGTTGGTGGGTGTGATATTTTGTTGGTGGGTGTGCTATTTTGTTGGTGGGTGTGATATGTTGTTGGTGAGTGTGATATTTTGTTGGTGGGTAAGGTATTTTGTTGGTGGGTGTGATATTTTGTTGGTGAGTGTGATATTTTGTTGGTGGGTAAGGTATTTTGTTGGTGGGTGTGATATTTTGTTGGTGAGTGTGATATTTTGTTGGTGGGTGTGATATTTTGTTGGTGGGTGTGATCTTTTGTTGGTGGGTGTGATATTTTGTTGGTGGGTGTGAGTTATGAATGAAATACGATGACAAAATGTTTGTTGGTGGGTGTGATATTTTGTTGGTGGGTGTGATATTTTGTTGGTGGGTGTGAGTTATGAATGAAATACGATGACAGAATGTTTTGGCCCATTCTTTTATAGGATTAAGTTGTTTGTTTGGTTAATGCCCCTTAATGTAGTCAGGTTCATATTGGGGCTGGTGTTCTGGTAGAAGCTAGTGACTTCTAACCATCCAATCACTGCGGGCAGGAGGTCTGCTGAACATTGTCCAAATAAAGTTGGGTAAATATAAGGTGCCAAAGGGCACAAAAGGAACATTACGGGGACGGTTTATAAACAAGGCTGTCTGAGAAACACAAACTGTCCCAGGTAAGGATTGAACCCTTGACCTGAGATGTTTACCTAATCTAAGCTATTATACAGCTCCAGTTAGAATGATTTTAATGTTCAGAACTAATCACTGAAGGTAGACTTATGTCTCTAAGAATTATGATTATTTCTACTGATTATTATATAATTACAAGTTTAAATGTGAACATGTGTTTTTGTTGTGTTTGTTTTGTAACATGTCTCATAGTGTATATTCTTGTCTGACATCACCTGTGTCATCCGATATCTGGGAGCTCTGTGGGTGTTGGAATAAATATATTAGTACAAGTCGGCATTCAGGAGGGATAGGGGGCACTGCATACAGGAGTATATATAGATATATATATAGGCCAGGGGTTAAGGGCGCCGTCTGCCATGCATCCATCCTCCATCTTGTTACGATATGTGGATAAATATGTATATATACATAAAATAGAAATGCTTCGTTTGTTTAATAAGACATGCACATCGTTATATATACTGGATTAGAGGCATGTAACAGTTGGTACACGCGCTGTTTACTGGCTGCAGTATCACATCAGAGATTCCTATATAGTACGTTAACAAAGCTGTTAGGAGAGGACTGTCCAAATTATATCAGCAGATATATAAAGACTATATAAACAGAGTTATTCCCCTTCCCATTTTTTATCTCCACAAAAATCTCACTTTCAGAATTTGATTTCAGCAGTTTTCACTATTACCACGCTGTGGTAGTCATTCCTCCGTTCTCTTAAGTAGCTATCTCCCTTCTTAAACCAAATTTCAATATGTCAACAGAATCATTTCCCTTCCTACATTAAAGTTAAATAGAGTTACTTCCCCTCTGCCTTCACAAATTTCAACAGAGTAAGCTTCCTGTAAATCACACTTTAAATATCCTTTTTTTCATAAACAGAACTGAGGCATTATTTATCTCCTTTTCAGTGATGAGGTTATATTATCAAAAAAAACTTTGAACATATTAATAACACCTGACTGATCAAAGATATCATCAATTAAAACCAAGCAACTAAATAATATCATAGAGTTATCTCCCTTAGTACAATGAATCAAATACCTGTGATAAATTATTGGAGTAAATAAATGGAAAACAAATCCAGACTATAACCAATTACTGATTTAAAACCTACTCTAGAATCAACTACCCTTTCACCACCAGGTCAGCTATCCCTGGCCTAAGATTCCACACCAACCCCTTGCCCTTGCTACCCATTCTCCACCCCTTGAACAACTGTATCTGTCTTAATGATCCAAACCAACACCAACCCCTGGCTATCCCTTCCCTACCCTCTAGAGCTGCCTCTGCCCTAAGAGTCCACCAACCCCTGGCTATCCCTTCCCTACCCTCTAGAGCTGCCTCTACCCTCAGAGTCCATACCAACCCCTGGCTATCCCTTCCCTACCCTCTAGAGCTGCCTCTACCCTCAGAGTCCACCAACCCCTGGCTATCCCTTCACTATCCTCTAGAGCTGTCTCTGCCCTCAGAGTCCATACCAACCCCTGACTATCCGTTCCCCACCCTCTTGAGCTGACTCTGCCCTCAGAGTCCACCAACCCCCGGCTATCACTTTCCTACCCTCTAGAGCTGTCTCTGCCCTCAGAGTCCATACCAACCCCTGGCTATCCCTTCCCTACCCTGTAGAGCTGCCTCTACCCTCAGAGTCCACCAACCCCTGGCTATCCCTTCACTATCCTCTAGAGCTGTCTCTGCCCTCAGAGTCCACCAACCCCTGGCTATCCCTTCCCTACCCTCTAGAACTGTCTCTGCCCTCAGAGTCCACCAACCTCTAGCTATCCCTTCCCTACCCTCTAGAGATGCCTCTGCCCTCAGAGTCCACCAACCCCTGGCTATCCCTTCCCTACCCTCTAGAGCTGCCTCTACCCTCAGAGTCCACCAACCCCTGGCTATCCCTTCACTATCCTCTAGAGCTGTCTCTGCCCTCAGAGTCCATACCAACCCCTGACTATCCGTTCCCCACCCTCTTGAGCTGACTCTGCCCTCAGAGTCCACCAACCCCCGGCTATCACTTTCCTACCCTCTAGAGCTGCCTCTGCCCTCAGAGTCCATACCAACCCCTGGCTATCCCTTCCCTACCCTGTAGAGCTGCCTCTACCCTCAGAGTCCACCAACCCCTGGCTATCCCTTCACTATCCTCTAGAGCTGTCTCTGCCCTCAGAGTCCACCAACCCCTGGCTATCCCTTCCCTACCCTCTAGAACTGCCTCTGCCCTCAGAGTCCACCCTCTAGCTATCCCTTCCCTACCCTCTAGAACTGCCTCTGCCCTCAGAGTCCACCAACCCCTGGCTATCCCTTCCCTACCCTCTAGAACTGCCTCTGACCTCAGAGTCCACCAACCCCTGGCTATCCCTTCCCTACCCTCTAGAGATGCCTCTGCCCTCAGAGTCCAACAACCCCTGACTATTCCTTCCACACCCTCTAGAGATGCCTCTGCCCTCAGAGTCCACCAACCCCTGACTATTCCTTCCACACCCTCTAGAGCTGTTTCTGTCCTAAGTTCACAGTACACTTGCTTGCTGTGTTAGCATCATGCATGTTAGATGCTGACAAGAGCGGTAAGTCTATGTAAATAATTGGAAGAGGAACTGCCATCTCCATTACTTGTATTTCACCCCACTTCACATGTATTTCCAAAGCTAATACAAGAAAACTAATACTCATTGTAATTTTTTCACCCAAGAGAATGTTGCTTGATTGAACATGAAATGCTGGTAACATGGAAAGTGAAATGAAATACAAATGATAGGAAGTGGTCAGCAATCTCCTGACATAATGATCAGTAAAGCAGGAGGCTTGACCACAGATTCCTCCTCCAAAATAACGGTTCTTGTTACTATCAGACAAGTTCAGCAAAAATTCAATCTTTATCACAAATAATAAATTATTTCAGGAAAACAAATGGATATAAACATGTTTAAAGAAAATTACAAAAAATTGTGTTCTCGTCAAAATAAATTCTTTTTTTTTAGATTAAATTAATAGTTTGAGATAAATAACTTACTTTGTTCCCCTGGGAGTCGATTACCAGCCGATCTCATCAGCTTTTCTGGTGGGATGTGATACTGTGACGCCACCAGTTTGGGGATAGCCTCTGTGTCCTCTAAGAAGATCTGCATTCTAATGAAGGGTTCTCTCCCTTTCTGTGTGAGCATGTGCCATGGCTTTGGGCGTGCAAGGAGATCGCTGACTGATCCCTGGGATAAGCCTAGAACACTCTCCCCAAATAGACGCTGACTGATCGAATACTGACTTAACGTCTCCTTCACCTGTTTTACTAACTCCTCTGTACCAATGTTACCATATTTGTCAAATTGTTCTTGTGTGATAGGGGGCAGCACCGCCCGCAAGGGTTTGTTAGAAGACACACCCACATGGGGTCGTGACATCACAGAGTTGGCAATGCTTTGCATACGCTGTAGTGGTGAGATACACTCTGCTGGGGCGTATGATCCAAAACGGGGTTTGTCATACCCATTCTCATGACCATTCATCTTGGGTCTAACTAAGAAAAAGGCACTTCCTGCATGATGAATGGGGTCGGAGGGCGACTTATCAGAGCTGCCGGAGGTGGGTGTGGTTGGTGCCGAGTTGCTGTGTTTACTCAAGTCAATAGGACCGTTAGACTGGAATCCGTTGAACTGTGATCCCAAATCATCCGATGTACTATCTGGTGGCTCTGTCTTTACCGTTGGGTTCTCTGGTGAACTGTGTGAGCGTCTTATTTCACCTGGCTCCTGGTCTTCCTTCTGGGCATTTACAGCAAGCCGTGCTAGCTCCTGCTGGTACATTGAGCTGGCAGCGAGATTTCCAGCACTCTCTGCAGCCTTTGCCAGCTTGAGAAGTTCCTGTCGGTAGATACGTTCAACCATTTCCTTTGAGGACACAGAGTTCTCAACATTGTCTCGATGTCGCTCTCCATCCATGCTATATTTTCTTGAGTGTGATGTTTGATGTCCATGATTGGATGAGGATACAGAATTCGGACTGCGTAGTGCTACCTGGTGGTCAGAAACTTGTGCAAGTCGTGTCATCTCTTGCTGGTAAATACTGCTTGCCATGGCAGACGCCACCTGGTGCTGAAAGAGAAATAAGAGAATAAAACTGATCCAGAAATATTGCTGAGAGGTAAACTTTGTAGAACTATTGTGACCTCTATATCAAGCTTATATTATACACACTGAGAAAATCAGTACATTTCAATCTGAGATTGAATTAATTTTGTTACACTGAATGTTACCTACTTTTTTGACTGTGACCTACTTTTTGACTGAGACCTACATTATTTGACTGTGACCTACATAGTTTGGCTGTGACCTACATTGTTTGACTGAGACCTACATTGTTTGACTGTGACCTACATTGTTTTACTGTGACCTACATCGTCTGACTGACCTACATCGTCTGAATTTGTCATACATTGAGACTATAACCTACATTGTTGAAATGTGACCTACATCACTTGTATGTGACCTACATTATCTGTATGTGACCTACATTGTCTGATGTACATTTTCTTACCAACACTGATGTGACCAACCTAATACTATAGTAATTTTATCTTTGTCCCTGACACAGTGATATTGTTTCCTGGTATTACCTGTTCCATGGCCTTTTTCATGTGCATAGCTTTTTGAGCGTCGTTAAGGATTTGAGCAATGCGTTCCTCCGTGTGCGAGTCATCGTGCTGCACACTAGGCACGAGGTGCTGCGAGCCTGTGAAGAGCACAGGGAGTAGAGAGTTAAACATTGATGATGATATTCCCTCATTTCCACTTGTTACTGCAGTTACTGCTGCTGTTGCTGCCTTGTTTGCTGCAAGAGAAATCATCGTCATGGTAACATGGCACGTTAGTAGCTGTGTTACCCATCACCATGGCAATGTGTGACTATCAGGAGTCACAGGTGACCTTCAGAAGGCATCATTTGACTTCTAAATGTCAAATAGCACCTCTATGCCACCAATGACTCCAAAATGACACACAGGGGTTTAATGTTTTTGGAAAGGCAGCAAACAGCAAGCAGTAAACTTGGATGTGGATCATAAATACATAGATTTACAATTAGGACACATCAAAGTCATTCAATTTTCTGGTGATTGTGTCAGTTTATGGTTTCTAAAATTTTTGAGCTCATTGTATTTTCAGTATATATTCTTATTTCCCCCTAAAATGAATATATGAGTTTGATAAAGCCTTCATGTTAAAAAAACTCAAAAAAACCCGAACAGACAACAACACTACATTAATACCAGTATTACACGTCTGTAAGAATCAGTAGTTCAGTAACATGGTAACGTTATCTATAAAACTACACAGAATTCTACTACCTAGCACACGTTATCTATAAAACTACACAGAATTCTACTACCTAGCACACGTTATCTATAAAACTACACAGAATTCTACTACCTAGCACGCGTTATCTATAAAACTACACAGAATTCTATAAAACTACACAGAATTCTACTACCTAGCACGCGTTATCTATAAAACTACACAGAATTCTACTACCTAGCACGCGTTATCTATAAAACTACACAGAATTCTACTACCTAGCACGCGTTATCTATAAAACTACACAGAATTCTACTACAGAATTCTAGCACGCGTTATCTATAAAACTACACAGAATTCTACTACCTAGCACGCGTTATCTATAAAACTACACAGAATTCTACTACCTAGCACGCGTTATCTATAAAACTACACAGAATTCTACTACCTAGCACGCGTTATCTATAAAACTACACAGAATTCTACTACCTAGCACGCGTTATCTATAAAACTACACAGAATTCTACTACCTAGCACGCGTTATCTATAAAACTACACAGAATTCTACTACCTAGCACGCGTTATCTATAAAACTACACAGAATTCTACTACCTAGCACGCGTTATCTATAAAACTACACAGAATTCTACTACCTAGCACTCGTTATCTATAAAACTACACAGAATTCTACTACCTAGCACGCGTTATCTATAAAACTACACAGAATTCTACTACCTAGCACGCGTTATCTATAAAACTACACAGAATTCTATTACCTAGCACGCGTTATCTATAAAACTACACAGAATTCTATTACCTAGCACACATGCAGGGATGAAACATTCCTTATAGTAACTCAAAACTCTTATGTAGCCATGTGAAAATCCATGACCTGAAAATCCTGATAACATAATCTGAAACCCCTATAACATAACCAGAAAACCCTACATAATCTGAAACCCCCTATATCATCACCAGAAAACCCTACGTAATCTGAAACCCCCTATATCATCACCAGAAAACCCTACGTAATCTGAAACCCCCTATAACATAACCAGAAAACCCTACGTAATCTGAAACCCCCTATATCATCACCAGAAAACCCTACATAATCTGAAACCCCCTATAACATAACCAGAAAACCCTACATAATCTGAAACCCCCTATAACATAACCAGAAAACCCTACATAATCTGAAACCCCCTATAACATAACCAGAAAACCCTACATAATCTGAAACCCCCTATAACATAACCAGAAAACCCTACGTAATCTGAAACCCCCTGTAACATAACCAGAAAACCCTACATAATCTGAAACCCCCTATAACATAACCAGAAAACCCTACGTAATCTGAAACCCCCTATAACATAACCAGAAAACCCTACATAATCTGAAACCCCCTATAACATAACCAGAAAACCCTACATAATCTGAAACCCCCTATAACATAACCAGAAAACCCTACATAATCTGAAACCCCCTATAACATAACCAGAAAACCCTACGTAATCTGAAACCCCCTATAACATAACCAGAAAACCCTACATAATCTGAAACCCCCTATAACATAACCAGAAAACCCTACGTAATCTGAAACCCCCTATAACATAACCAGAAAACCCTACATAATCTGAAAACCCCTGTAACATAACCAGAAAACCCTACATAATCTGAAAACGCCTTTAACATGACCTGAAAACAACTTTAACGTGACCTTCATGAAAACCCTTGTAAGATGATGTCAATAACCTAAGTAGTAAATCCTGATATACAGAGGTAAAACTGTCTATACTGTCAACACTTAGGTAGAAACCCGATATACAGAGGTAAAACTGTCTATACTGTCAACACTTATGTAGAAACCTGATATACAGAGGTAAAACTGTCTATACTGTCAACACTTAGGTAGAAACCCGATATACAGAGGTAAAACTGTCTATACTGTCAACACTTAGGTAGAAACCTGATATACAGAGGTAAAACTGTCTATACTGTCAACACTTAGGTAGAAACCCGATATACAGAGGTAAAACTGTCTATACTGTCAACACTTAGGTAGAAACCCGATATACAGAGGTAAAACTGTCTATACTGTCAACACTTAGGTAGAAACCCGATATACAGAGGTAAAACTGTCTATACTGTCAACACTTAGGTAGTAACATGCAGGTAAAGAAAACAACTCACTTTTCTTTGGTGATATAGCCTTGAGGCTTAGAATGTTGCGATCGTCTGTCGCCCACTGGTACATCTTGCGGTATGATTCTCTTCCCTTCTCCGTCAGTTTGTCCCAAGATTTGGGTTTGGACAGCAGTTCACTGACTGTGCCCTGTGAAAGCCCTAACACATGTTTAGCGAAGAGGCGCTGGCCGATATTGTGTATACTCAATAGTTCACGGATTGTCTTTGCCACCAGTGACGTGTCAAGACCTTGAGAATTATTAGGTTCCGACTTCACCACACCGCCCAGCCCTACATAGTTTGATATTAAAGGTCCATTTCCAAAAGGGAAGAATTGTGGCGATGGCGGAGGAATTTGTGACACGTCGGAACTAGGAATGCTGGGTACTCTTTCAAATGTTCGTTTTGGTGAAGATTTTTCTGACTCAGCCCCACCCCCACTACCACTGGAAGGTGTGGATGGGGTAGAGATCCGCGACACATCCTGGTGTTGCTGTGACTGTTCACGTTGTTGCTGTTCCCTCTGCTGTTGCTGCTGGTACGTTGCTGCTATTTCTTCGCCCAACATTGACGCGAATGCTTCGGCATTTTCGGAGAGAGCGGGGGTGGAATCTCCTGTAAGGAAGGTGAGAGATGCACATGAAAGCATTGTCAGGAATTCTTGTTAGACGGGAGAGTACAAATATACACCATGCAATCAGCCAGCATATTGTCTTGTTACAGTTACTGGGGGATTTCTTTTTTCATTCCTTTGTTTCTGCAGTTGCCAAAATATTAATTTTCAGCGGAATTTTTCATATGTGTTTTGTTTTGTTGCTGAATAAAATTGTGATTGATTAAATGCCTTTCATGACACTCAACACCTTTCTTAGCTAAGTAGGAGAACCCTGGGGAGACCTAAGCAGGAGTCAGTACAGCGCAGGGAGACTTGTCTCTATTGGACACCTGAATGGATGCCCAAGTTAGGAACTAATGCATATAGGTGTGGAATGTGCTCCTTCACTGAAGCCAAAGAGACGCAGTTCTCATTTGGTGTTCAGGGTAGTGACCATTCCATTGAAGCAGGAGAAATAGATCATGCTCGATTCTCCTCTGTGACCAAAGAATGACAAGCATTCCATTGCACAAGGGGGTGGTCCATTCAATTGCAGCTCAAGAGGGAGTACCCATTAAGGCTAATAGCAAGGATCTCTGTGAGGCTCAAGAGGGAGCACCCATTTAGGCCAATAGAAAGGATCTCTGTGAGGCTCAAGAGGGAGTACCCATTATGGCCACTAGAAAGGATCTCTGTGAGGCTCAAGAGGGAGTACCCATTAAGGCCAATAGAAAGGATCTCTGTGAGGCTCAAGAGAGCAGATATTCTAGGAGGTTCAAGAAAGAAACTCCTTAATTTGGACCAACAGAGGAAATCTCTATTTTAGCTCAAATTGTAGAATTCCTTAAACAAGTCAAGAAGAAAAATAGTCTGGAGAGGGAAAGGGGATGTGCTTGTTAGTGTTCTAATAAAACAAACTGTTAGTAAACCACTTCAATATGGCTAAATTAGTGGGAAAATGGTAAGTGAAAAAGTGAAGTGGTTATCTCAGTACTACACCAGTTATAACCACACGGTATACACATGCCATTATGAAAATAATTCTTTACAAATCTTCTAGTACTTCATTTCTTCCTTTCCACAAACAAACGTTAAAATTAGAAAGAAAAAGAGAATATGTTCTATCCCAACTTATTGATAGCACAAACTACACATGTGCCAGCCATTTCACACAAACATCATCATTTAAGATTTTCATTTCGAAAATTATTTTTCCTTTCTTTTTTTTTTTGAATTCTTTTTACAAACTACTTAACATTTGTTTGTATGAATGGCACATAATGCAGTCCATGGTGAGACCCACATCTATTAAAGGGAGGTAACCAACCTGATATCTCACTCTTGGCCAATTTTACTGTAGTGTTTTCTGACTGGAGGCTCTTGTTTTTTTCCAAAAGCAGCATCTCCAAAGACTTGGATTTGTCTCCAGTCTCTTCAGCAGATTGTGAAAACTCAATGGATTTGAGCACACTGAAAGGTTTGTAAAAACAACAAAAGTTAGTCTAATCCAGGACAATTCATCTAAACTCAAAATTCCATTCAAAATTGTATCTGTGCATAATGATCAAATCATTTAATGACTTAAGATTTTGACCATATTGACTTACATGCCAATTATTTTAAGTGTAGGTCTTACAGTTCTTTAGAAGATGTTTAAAAGAAATTTTGCAGCAAGCAAACAACTTGTCAACAAAGTTTTAATAAAAGGATTCTTGCCAGCTGAACTTGTGAGGGTAAGAGTTAGATGGAAAGTTGAAAAATATATTAAGTAATAAATGTAGTGAGAACAAGGTAAGGAATAAAGGTAGTGAGAACAAGGTAAGTAATAAAGGTAGTGAGAAAAAGGTAAGTAATAAAGGTAGTGAGAACAAGGTAAGTAATAAAGGTAGTGAGAAAAAGGTAAGTAATAAAGGTAGTGAGAACATGATAAGTAATAAAGGTAGTGAGAACAAGGTAAGAAATAAGGTAAGTGAGAACAGGGTAAGTGATAAAGGTAGTGAGAACAAGGTAAGAAATAAGGTAAGTGAGAACAGGGTAAGTGATAAAGGTAGTGAGAACAAGGTAAGAAATAAGGATAGTGAGAACAGGGTAAGTGATAAAGGTAGTGAGAGCAAGGTAAGTAATAAAGGTAGTGAGAACAAGGTACGTAATAAAGGTAGTGAGAACAAGGTAAGAAATAAGGATAGTGAGAACAGGGTAAGTGATAAAGGTAGTGAGAGCAAGGTAAGTAATAAAGGTAGTGAGAACAAGGTATGTAATAAAGGTAGTGAGAACAAGGTAAGAAATAAGGATAGTGAGAACAGGGTAAGGAATAAGCGTAAAGGCTGTAGGGTGTGAAAACTTAATACATACACTAGTTCACGTTTCACCTCTTCATAGTCACCCTGTGACCTCATCTTCTCCTCCAACACTCTAAAGGCCTCATTCTTAAGTGTAAGCTCCTCCTCCAGTTTAGACACCTGCAAGTCAATCATATTGTGAAATATTTAGTCTGTGATACTTCTCAAGTGTTTATCTTTTTTTTTTTTACATTATTATATCTTTTTTCTTAAATCCATTTTCAGAAGTCAGACATGTTTGACATGTGTATTTTGTCAATTACACACACATAGGGACATAACAATATACAGTTACCTAGTATGGTAGTGTTTGGCACGTTTTGTGCTACCATTTAGACTGAATTCAGTACAGACTGTCCCCAGAAAATTCAGTCAAAACCTTAACAGATGGAAACCCCTAATTTCATTTGAGGGATGATTTTGGAGATTGTCTTTTTACAGCCACTTAAATATCATGCAGTAAATTCTAACCTAAGAGATCATCACCAAAGGAACGACCTGGTTGGCTGTGTTCTTCTGCTCTTCTATCTGTACTGGCTATTTCACGCTTTAACCACAGTGTCACAACATAATACATTCCTCCACCAGGATTGGTATTAAAACAGCTAATTAGGATAATACCGATATAAAAGGTTTCCTTAAGGATTTGTATGTAGGAATTATACTGCACCAGAAGCCAACAACACCTCTAAATAATATCAGGAAATAGTTATAAAGTAGAGAACAAAACAAAAATTAACAAAAATAAAGAGAAAATCTGTCATTGCTCATAAAATATTGATTCCTTAAGCTGACATGGACAGCCAAGATCTTGATACTTGGAGCTGACAAGGACAGCCAAGATCTTGATTCTTTGAGCTGACAAGGACAGCCAAGATCTTGATTCCTTGAGCTGACATGGAAAGCCAAGATCTTGATTCCTTGAGCTGACATGGACAGCCAAGATCTTGATTCCTTGAGCTGACATAGACAGACAAGACCTTGATACTTGGAGCTGACATAGACAGCCAAGATCTTGATAACTTGGGCTGACATAGACAGCCAAGATCTTGATTCTTGGAGCTGACATAGACAGCCAAGATCTTGATTCCTTGAGCTGACACAGACAGCCAAGATCTTGATTCCTTGAGCTGACATGGACAGCCAAGATCTTGATTCCTTGAGCTGACACAGACAGCCAAGATCTTGATACTTGGAGCTGACATAGACAGCCAAGATCTTGATTCCTTGAGCTGACAAGGACAGCCAAGATCTTGATTCCTTGAGCTGACAAGGACAGCCAAGATCTTGATTCTTTGAGCTGACAAGGACAGCCAAGATCTTGATTCTTGGAGCTGACATGGAAAGCCAAGATCTTGATTCTTGGAGCTGACATAGACAGCCAAGATTTTGATTCCTTGAGCTGACATAGACAGCCAAGATCTTGATTCCTTGAGCTGACACAGAAGCCAAGATTTTGATACTTGGAGCTGACATAGACAGCCAAGATCTTGATTCTTGGAGCTAAATATGCAGAGCCTAAATTTCTGACTAAGTATACAATGTAGTTTCAAAGTCAATAAATTTGACATTATTTTTCACCAGGGTTTATAGATAATGCAAAAAGAAAATAAAAATCAATTAAAATTAATCCTTGTAATCTATGGAGTTCAGCAGATATTATTGATCCACTGGATTGACTGATGCATTGGCACGGCAACAGCTGTCAATAATTGATTGCCATTCATCACATTTCCATGGTAACCGCTCACTTGCCAACAAAGCCTGCATCAGAAATCAATGAAGTTTTCAATAGGGAGTCGTTTGTTCGACAGGACTTGAGAATCAATACTGGATAACATTGATTCTCCATCCCCACTGGATCAACTTACATTACAAATACAATAAAACACTTTATCAGGGGAGATCCTCCTTGCCTGATTAAAAAGAGAATGGATATAGAATATCAGAAGGACCGTCACCAAACCTGTTCATCTGCCGTCAGCCTTTCTCATGTTATGTAATAACATTACCATCTTAGTTCTGTATCTCTGAAACGTAGCCTATGGTACAACCAATATTTCCTACGTATCTTATAAACACAAAGAAACCCTTGTCTCTACCTCTGTCCTAAACCCTAGCCTTTAATCTACACATTTAGGATATGTGTCCTAAATCCTAGCCTCCAATCTATGCATTTAGGATATGTGTCCTAAATCCTAGCCTCCAATCTATACATTTAGGATATGTGTCCTAAATCCTAGCCTCCAATCTATACATTTAGGATATGTGTCCTAAATCCTAGCCTCCAATCTATACATTTAGGATATGTGTCCTAAATCCTAGCCTCCAATCTATACATTTAGGATATGTGTCCTAAATCCTAGCCTCCAATCTATACATTTAGGTTATGTGTCCTAAATCCTAGCCTCCAATCTATACATTTAGGATATGTGTCGTAAATCCTAGCCTCCAATCTACACATTTAGGATATGTGTCTTAAATTCTAGCCTTTAATCCACATATATTTTTTGGTTAAATTCAGTCAAAAATCCAAGCCAACCATTTAAACATTGAGGATAGTTGTGTTCTAAATTCTGGATTACAACCTGCAAATTCAGGATATTTGCATCCTAAATCCCAGTCTACAGTTTACTTAATGAATGTAACATTCAGCAGTAGATTTCCATAACAAAGCTCATGTTCACCAGCCTCATCTACAGAAGTACTGGCAGTTTTGTATTTCTTCACAAACAAAACATTTGCTAAAGATATTTCAACCTACACTTAAGAGTCTAGAATACTAATTTAAATGTGTTGTGTAAAAATACCATTCTCAGTTCTGACTTTCCTCATAGATTACAGTACAGGATTTTATATCCAATCACAAACATGTATAGAAAATCAATAACTGATACAGTATATAGGGTCATTAATGCCATTGTACCATTATAATTAATTTACCTCATCTCATAATATAACAATATCTTAAGACTGTAGTTAATTTTCTCCCAATCTTTAATTCACCATACCTGTTCATGGACAAAAACAGTGAAAATGAAATACAGGCAAAAATTTACCAGTATACAGAAAATGAAAGTTAAAATTTTGTCTTTTCTTTTTCTTGATAAAAGCTTAGTTCTGCTTCCACTCTAAAATATCTGTCATGACCCACATAAGGAAGGACTTGGAAGACAACATTAGGATGAAAAGCCTGGATAATGACAATTTCTCCTTCCTTCTTCATTTCTGAACCATTTAAAGCAACTCAGGATAAAAAGCTGCAGTGCCTCTGATCTGTGGCCAGAGTTGTCTCCCTTACTAATCAAGTTTAACTGTTTGTTTGCTGGGTATATCACCCTGTGAACAGGTATATTTTAAAGCAGTCTCTTTGCAGCAGCTTGTGGTTACCACACTGAACAACATACAGGAGGCCCATCACAGGCCATCCACAATAACCATGGTGAAATGCTATAAACAACCACATCAGCACAGTCAGATCCATTTCCAGCTTCCACTTACCTGATTGGCTGACGACTCCCTAAGTTTGTTCAGTGATGCCTGCAGTCGCTGAACATCATCCACAAGCTGAGCAATCTGGTTAAAATTGAATAATATTTTTATAACATCTGTCGTTACTGATCTAACAAAGTGTACCTAAAGCATCTTCTTGATTCTCACTTTCCTAACCATTTTGATACTAGTTACACAGGGTAGAAATATGATTTTGTGTAAGGCGGGCAGTGTTCTGGTGTAAGGTGGGTGGTGTTCTGGTGTAAGGTGGGCAGTGTTCTGGTGTAAGGTGAGTGGTGTTCTGGTGTAAGGTGGGCGGAGTTCTGGTGTAAAGTGGGTGGAGTTCTGTTGTAAGGTGGGCGGAGTTCTGTTGTAAGGTGGGCAGTGATCTGTTGTAAGGTGGGCAGTATTCTGTGTAAATGGTTGGAGTTCTGTTGTAAGGTGGGCGGAGTTCTGTTGTAAGGTGGTCAGTGTTCTGTGTATTTTAACAGGAGGTGGAGTTACAGGTAACCACTGCTTTCAGTCCCTATTTTATTTGGGTGGAACCTACAAGTGTGTGCTGTTAAGGCAAGTGTAAATAAGTGGATATAGCACCAAAATAAATGTTGCAAAATAACTGATAACAAGTGTGGCCTTAAGAAAACCAACCTCCTTCTCCTTGGCGGCAAGTTCCACCTCAAGGCTTGAGCGCTGAAGGATATCCATGGCCTGTTCTACATTGGGGGAGGCCACACTCTCAGCTGTACCCGTCTGATCTTGTGCCACTGCTTTTGTCAGTTGCTGCTGTAGTTGCTCTACCTGTCGTTCTGTCGCTGCTGCTCTCTATAAACAACAGACAACAACACATGGGTGAAGATGGGTTATACCAATCATATAATGTTAACTAAATAACACTCCAGTTAACAACATCTACAAAGAAACTCCACAACCCCAGTAAAAAAAAGTGTGAATAGAGAGGTAAAGGGGTCATATTGTGTACACCAGGCCATGTATCAAACTCCACTAACACAGAAAATCAATAGATTATTGATCTGGCAGGGCCAGGCACAATCAATGACAGATCAATATCATATTATAAAGTGCATTTGCATGTATATATCGTAGTAGCAGCTGGCCCCGATTAGGTACAACATGTCTTGAGCGGCCCCAACCATATGCAAAATATTTCAGGTGGCCTTGACATAAAAAGTGCACCTGGGTGGCCCTGACCATGTATAACTCTTCTACAGTGGCCCTGCCCTGTACTACACATCTAGGTTGACCTTGACATGTACAATACATCTAGGGTGACCTTGACATGTACGATACATCTAGGGTGACCTTGACATGTACGATACATCTAGAGTGGTCAGAATAGTGTACAACAAATTCTGGATGGTCCATACAACACAATTAGGTTGACCCTGATAATACACAACACATTCAGGTTGGCCATGTTCATGTCATCTAGGGTGACCTTGACCATGTACAACACATCTAGGGTGACCTTGACCATGTACAACACATCTAGGGTGACCTTGACCATGTACAACACATCTAGGGTGACCTTGACCATGTACAACACATCTAGGGTGACCTTGACCATGTATAACACATCTATGGTGACCTTGACCATGTACAACACATCTAGGGTGACCTTGACCATGTACACACATCTAGGGTTTCTCTGACAACACCACATCCAGGGTTGCCCTAACTACGTACAACACTATTAGGAAGGTCTAAGATACTCTGCATTCTAATCTAGATATATGCAGTGTTAAGGACACTTTGCAGAGAATTCTGCAAAAAGATGATTCTAAGTTGTGATACATTTTGCCTAATCTAGTCATATTGAACAAATAAAATAAATTTTAATCAAAATCAAGAATATCTGATTTGTTTTGGACCTATATCCTATTGAATGGTACTATATTATCAATAATTCACTTGATTCTTTTTTAATGAGGCATCAAGTGATTGAAATAGATCTTGGAAAATTATTGGAACTCTTTAGAAATGAAGGTATATAACATAGCATAGAGCTTTAATATAGAGGTACCTACCTCATTGGCACGTTCCAGGTCCGCCATCACCATTTCCATTTCATCTGATCTGTGAAAACAATAAGTTTGCAATTCTAATAAACAATATCATAAAGTTGTTTACATGTTTAAACAAACAATTTTATTAAATTACCAATATTTTTAGCAAACACTTTTTAAAACTGATTACATTTCAAACAAATAATTTTATAAAGAAAGAACTTCATAAAGTTGTTAACATTTTTAATAATTTCATAAAATTGATCCTATTTCAAACAAAAAATTTTCTGAAAAGTTATGTACACTTTTTAACAATTTCATAAAATAGATTACATTTTAAACAAACAATTTTCTAAAGAAACAATTTCATAATTTTTTAAATTTTTTTATTATGTTGCCTATATCTTTAACAAATAATTTTATAAAACTGATTACATTTTAAACGAACAGTTTTATGAAACTGACAATATTTGAAACAAACTAATTTATATAGTAACAATTTTATAATGTAGTCCATATTCTCATCAAATAAGATCTATCTATGTTGTATACTGCATCAACACTGCTATGTTATCAATGGAAAGTATACCGTCTTTAAATTTACTCTCAGTATTGAGTTCTTCAACAGTGGCATGTTTTGAAAATCTTTTATCTGAAGCCATTAATTTTAAAATACCTACAGATTCAATATTAATAAATAGGACATAGAAAAGAACATCTTTCAGTGTAACATCTCCTGTCTACTATAGGAACATGTAAACTACCCATAGGAATGAAAATACAAAGACAGAAGATCACAAAGACAATGGAAGTATCATTATGTTCTTTATTCGGAGTTAACATTTGATAATAAAAAGTTGACGGAGAGCTACACGCGGGACACGGTGTGAACTCGCCTGGTCGCTCGTGTGTGTCACCACCTTATCTGACACTAATTTATCCTGTGACATTAATGAATTTATTATTTAAATTGGTCTGAACACAGATTCGCTGAGATATTAAGAACAACAATAGTCACCTACAGTCACAAACATCATGTGCAACACTACTGAAGTAGTTTTTTGGCAGAAATAGCCATTTTTTTCCTTTTAAATACTTGCAGAAAACAAACAGGTATAGACTTGGTGTGAGGTGTTAATCCACTAATTGTACATACAATTTAAGCCAATATTAAACCTTTGAAAATGGAAGAAGTTCTTTTTGATCATCCAAACAAAGGAATTGACATTTAACAATATGACAAATACAGCCAATTAACTGGCCAACATGATCTGACTGCTCTCTATCATCACATATACAAACTGACCGCTGTGTATTATCACAAGTAACTGAATTCATTCTAGGATATGTTAACAAAATGAAATAGCCATCAATCCCCCATCGTCATTCCAAAGCTTAGCATTGTATGACCAAAAAACTATTAAGATTTATAAATTTTCTAAATTTTATCATTCATCTTTATCCTAATTCCTCATGAAAGACAAAAACATATTTAGTTACTTGAACTAATTGATGATTCTGTCCTTAGGCATGACAAAATGACCATTAAAAACATAATGTCCAGGGGCAGTCTGGGATGACCGTTAAGGCTGTTTTACTGGCGTGTGACGATATTGACGTTCATACCTGATATATCTATAAATCAGTTATGCTAATGAGAACATCTCCGCACCTGCACGAGATATGACTCTAGGGCTGACAATCTGGCCTAATTAATCTTGGTGTACCCTTCAGCAGCGTAAATATTACTCACATCGTTAATACCATGTACGTTAAAATATACACACCGATAAAAAGACGTCAATTAATATTACTGTGTGACCGACACTCGACAAATTTAATTACACAACCAAGATGACAAAAAAAGAAAAAAGTGCTGTACATGAATAAGTCTGCAAACTGATCTTGTTCTCATCGGAAATAAATACACGTATATTTCATTCCATAAATATGAGGTTATATCAAATTTTAATTTAACACCTGTATGATTTTACATCAATATTTATTTACCTTCTCCTACATCTGTAAAATTTAACATGTATTCCCTTAAACCAAAGACGGCATTTGATTGACCACCAAACAAATTGTAGAAAACATTTCTAACAAAGCTTTGTCAATTTTAAATGAACATGTTTGAACTTATCTACACAAACTTTCTTGCTAGAACTCTAAATGGTAATAAGGAAAAAAATTGTTTTTTTTTTCCTCTCAATAAAAACCATTTTTCGAAAAAAAGACTTTGGTTTGAGACCGTATAGAAGATACCAACAGTCTAACAATGAGTCAAAGAAAACGATGCCATTGGACAATTTATTTGCATTTCATTCAATTTGTAGAATGACTTATCTTGGCTAATAAGAACTACTTTCCCACCATAAAACGTTGTTAAAGAAAATAAAAGATCACAAGATGTTTTTCCCCCAGACAGGACTCTGTTCTAAATACCAATCATGCATCATCTGAACAAACGTCACATGGGCACATTACTGTAATCAAAACTTTGAGCAGGAGGATCAATGTCAGGAGAGAACAGGATAAAAATGTATGTTTACTTTTACCGATCAAATCTAATTGATTACTCATGCTTGATTAGTACGTTGATTAGCGGTTTGTGTGACCCTCAATCCTCCCCTCCCTCCCATGTCTCAGCCAAACATCACTGATGGTTTTGTACTCAATCTTCCTTGCTTTTGACGCCAATGATTTATAGTGTTATAATTTGAATTTTTAGCCACCTATCAAGAACTGTGCTCTTTAATCATTTACACATGGTAGCTGAAAGGGGAGGGGGGGCTGGGGGGCTAGAGGACGTACCAATACTAGTGTTTTTGGGTTTAAGGCTGTTATTGTGAACAGCACTGTCTTCATCCCCCTTAAGTTACAGGGCCAAGACTGGAAGCAAGACAAGCAACAAGGGGGCATAACCAAGAAGCCAGGAGGTCAAAGGACAGCCAAGAGGTCAAAGAATAGGCAAGAGGTCATAGGATAACCAAAAGGTCATAGGATAACCAAGAGGTCAAAGGATAGCAAAGGGGTCAAAGGACAGTCAAGGTGGCCTGTTTTGAGGGAGAGAACCAATACATGAGTCAAAACTAGGTTTATGTAATAGCTCAAAAACATCTCCCATTATCAAAACGACTTGAAAATAAAAATTCATAATTATCACAGGTTTACCACTTTATTTATTTATTATATGTGTATAATAACCATGAAGACATCATATTTTTCTTATAAAAGTCACAGAAGAAACAAAAATGATCTGAAGTTATGAATGATGAAAAATATCAAATATATTGGAATGTGATCGGAAAATGCTTTCCCTAAACTATAGTCCTGTAGATAACTCTAATTAAAAAGACTAATTAATATATAGCCAGACTTTAATGAAATCAAAAAGAAATATTCAATATAAATTATTCATGTATTATCTAACCTCTCTACATACTGATATGAGAGCTTCCTTCTTCTCCTTAACGTTATCAAAATTATGGCCAACAATCATCAATTGCTGTCAAAAGTGACATGTTGTTTAATTCTACAAATCATAATTTCTGAGACATTATTGTTTGTCAAATCTAGACAGATACATAAACTTTGAAATAAAAATTAGTTATTAGGACACAAAGGAAAAAAATCAACTGCTTCTGTTGAGTTAATACATATTGACAAAGATTCAGGAAATAATATAGATATATTATCACTGACCAATCAGTGCTGTACATCATGATAAAGAAACACTATCACTGACCAATCAGTGCTGTACATCATGATATAGAAATACTATCACTGACCAATCAGTGCTAAACATCATGATATAGAAATACTATCTCTGACCAATCAGTGCTGTACATCATGATATAGAAATACTATCACTGACCAATCAGTGCTGTACATCATGATATAGAAATACCATCACTGACCAATCAGTGCTAAACATCATGATATAGAAATACTATCTCTGACCAATCAGTGCTGTACATCATGATATAGAAATACCATCACTGACCAATCAGTGCTGTACATCATGATATAGAAATACTATCTCTGACCAATCAGTGCACAGATTATCCAATTTTTATGTGTGGGATCAAAAACAAAAGTTTATTAGAGTGATAATAGTATGTATACACTGAAACAGACAAAAGTAAGCGAGTAGTAACAGAAGACTGAAGTCATTAGACAGAGGTCACAGTACACAGTGTCTGACACAGGAAGTCATTAGACAGAGGTCACAGTAGACAGTGTCTGACACAGGAAGTCATTAGACAGAGGTCACAGTACACAGTGTCTGACACAGGAAGTCATTAGACAGAGGTCACAGTAGACAGTGTCTGACACAGGAAGTCATTAGACAGAGGTCACAGTACAGTGTCTGACACAGGAAGTCATTAGAAAGAGGTCACAGTAGACAGTGTCTGACACAGAAAGTCATTAGACAGAGGTCACAGTAGACAGTGTCTGACACAGGAAGTCATTAGACAGAGGTCACAGTACACAGTGTCTGACACAGGAAGTCATTGGACAGAGGTCACAGTAGACAGTGTCTGACACAGGAAGTCATTAGACAGAGGTCACAGTAGACAGTGTCTGACACAGGAAGTCATTAGACAGAGGTCACAGTACACAGTGTCTGACACAGGAAGTCATTAGACAGAGGTCACAGTAGACAGTGTCTGACACAGGAAGTCATTAGACAGAGGTCACAGTAGACAGTGTCTGACACAGGAAGTCATTAGACAGAGGTCACAGTAGACAGTGTCTGACACAGGAAGTCATTAGACAGAGGTCACAGTAGACAGTGTCTGACACAGCAAGTCATTAGACAGAGGTCACAGTAGACAGTGTCTGACACAGGAAGTCATTAGACAGAGGTCACAGTAGACAGTGTCTGACACAGGAAGTCATTAGACAGAGGTCACAGTAGACAGTGTCTGACACAGGAAGTCATTAGACAGAGGTCACAGTAGACAGTGTCTGACACAGCAAGTCATTAGACAGAGGTCACAGTAGACAGTGTCTGACACAGCAAGTCATTAGACAGAGGTCACAGTACACAGTGTCTGACACAGC